ATTTTGCAATAAATTTTCATTTTTTGCCAAAAAAACTCGTCAAAATATCCAAAAATACATAAAATGAAATCAGGGACTCTGGAAAATCTCAGAAAACGAAGTTCCCCAGTTAGTTTCGCTACTATGGGACCTTCCATAAATTGAATGCTGCTTCATTAGAAGATGTCGCAAAGAGCTCGGAGACGTCTCATTTTCTTCAAAAGCGTATATTTGACCTATAAAGGATTGAACCAATGATATATAGAGCTTATTTATTCAGAATATTGTAGAAGTTTTCAAGCGCTATTTTTCTATATAACCTATTTTTGGATATTTTGACGAGTTTTTTTGGCAAAAAATGAAAATTTATTGCAAAATCGCTTGAAGGACTTTTTATGATTCCTATTGCGGGCTATTTTTCTCCGCACAGAAAACAAAAATAAAAAAATCAATTTATACTTTTGTAGCGCTTGAAATACGAATGAGATATCTATGTGCCGACCTGAAAAACTAAATAGGTTTGCAAAATTAGGTTTTACCAACAGAGTCATTCAGTTTTATAATTGTCAACAAATGATACGATATGCGCTATGAGGCTGTAGACCACGTGTCTAAATGCAGTTTCACATGAAGAATCCGAAAATCACGTCGATGAAAACCAAAAGTGAAATGGATAGGAGATAGACTCTACTTTCCGCAAAGCCATTTTTTTGATAATTTTCATACCTTCTTAGTATTTTGAGTTTTTCTCCGTGAAAACTCGGTCAAGGGTTTGAAATATGGCTTTTCGGTATCGGAATGGTTTCAAAAATTCCTTGAAACACCCGATTTAGATTTGGTTTACTTTGACGAAAACCAATTCGATGGGCGTCATTGTGACCGAGCTGAATTACCAAATGAAGCCCGGCCACAAGATGTTGCTGCTTATCAAGTGCATGGAGCAATATCCCGTCCGTGACGAAAGAAGGCTGAATAAGAGCCATTCGAGGAATGACACGTTGTGTTTGATGACGACCATTTTTGATAACCATCCATCGTCTACAGATAGACGTAAAAGCCCGATGTCATGAGTAGTAATAGAAAGGTACTTCAACCCGCAGAGTTCATTAAAACATGTTTTGGAACCTTAGATTTTTCTTTTTTTTCAATGCTTTTCCAAACAGAGATTTAAGCAAAGATCCTCGACAAACCTAAAGGAAACGGCGAGTCACATCTACTACTATGGACTTTGTAGTCTAGAAAAATGGTTTTCTGTGGTATTTTAAGTTGAAAACAAACCTTCTTAACCAATTCAGAGATAAAAGACTCGAGATTCATTTACTGCGTTAACTTTCCCAGATAAACGGGAAAAAAATCTACCGTACAGCACCAAATTTTGGCGATGATTTCATTGACTATGTCTTTCCACCGTCCTTGATAGGGATGGAAAGAAACGCTTTTGGAGTTGAACAACAAACAATAAAGTATATTTGCTCCTGTTGAATATGGACAAGGTAGAGATGCGCGAGATCAGCACTCATCAGCAAGTCATTGAAAAGATGAGAAAACAAAAAAAAATATTCATGTTTTTTAAGAACTTTTTTTGTTGCTTTGTAACAACCGTTTTCTGCATAGAAAACGGTTGTTGAATCATTAAAAATAGGAAAAAAGTTTTGAGCATGGGATCGAGATAAAAAAGTTTGATCCAGCTGATCTCTAGAACAAAAAAAGTCATTTTCTACAGTTTAGAATCATTGCATGGTTTTTCTACCCGTTTTCGAAGGGAAAAACAGACGTCAAAGACATACCTGTCAGACAGTTGAGGATTCGATGGTAATGCTAAACCAAACTTGGTTGTCAACGCTTCTTGTACTTTGACACCTCCACATGATTTAATTGGAAAAATAAACAACTCCTTGACACGAGGTATATCGTCGCTTGTTCTAGTATCCATCGACAAGTTAACCTGCATAAATAAGCATTGATTTTCTATTTCTTTTTCGTTGTTTTGTGTAAATAATAGAGACTAGCAAATAAGAGGATATCTCTTTCCGCATAAGATATCCCATGTGCGGAGATTCTTTTGTCTCAATGCGTCGATCGAAAAGAAAGAGAACAGAAATACATGTATATGCGAAAAGTGAAATCTCCTTATTTACTAGTTCTCTATTAATTTTTTTTATTAGAGCACTAGCAAATAAGGAGATATCTCTTTTCGCACATGCTTATCTTTCTGTTCTCTTTCGTTTCAATCGACGCTCTAAGATGAAAAAATGTCCGCACACGAAATATCTTATGTGAAGCGAGATATCCTCTTATTTGCTAGTGCTCTATTATTTTGCCATGCGACGAAAGGAACGAACAAAAATGATGATATTCTATGTGCGGATAGATATAGCGTTATAGTTGTAGTAATTGCACAATCTCAATTTTTCTACGATCTAAAAAAAAACATTTTTCATTACGAAGAATATCGAACGAGCCGAGATCTCAGAGCTTTCTTACCTAATGAGCCTAAGGAACAGGTGTTTGTTCTCTCTTTACGGGAAGAGTTTGTCATTGGCTCTGAGACTTGATTGGCATTCGTTCATTTTTTATTGTTGATTTTTAGATTTTTTATTATAAAATGTACAGCATCTCTTTTTTATAACTACGCGACGTCCGATATAATCTTTTTTAAACAATAACTGATCTTTTCGATGGCAAATTCTCAATTTCTATTTTTCAAACTGTTCTATAGATCCAAGGTTGGGTCGAAATTCTCTATGAATAGAAACCTTTCCATGAGTTTTGTATATTAGTCCATCTGGTAAGGGAGATCGCATAAGGATTATGTCAGAACATATACCCATGGACAAATAAATACATGGTTTATTATCCTCCATTCTTTCTGCGTTTGTTTTAATAGTATGCTTACCTTTTGTATATCGTGCACCATTGTATTTTCAGTTATTCGATCTAATTTCGATTTTCATTAGCATTTTATGATGAAGTAGAATTTCCTGTTACTAGCAGCCTATGATATGGCGAATTTAACTGACAAATCCTTATGGTAGAAGTCGTTCCTTATGATATTGATTTGTCTCTGTTGTTTTTTCTGTTTAAAAGATATATAAATGATAAAGTAAATATTTTCTTTCATCAGTCCAAGAAAAGGAGATTTTTCTTCTTGCCGTCACATTACTTCGAAAGAAATCGACGAGACATATATTTACACTGGCTGTACTTGGTCTTTTTAATCTTGTGATACGTGTGTTTTATATAATTGTATGAATTCCTCTCGGCGTGAATTTGTAACTCGATATGATTCAAAAAGTAAATTGATAAAAATGCCAAAAACTGCAAGTGACATTAGACATCTAGCGTATATCGCATCTTTTTCTTTTATTTTATCTTCTTGGTCTATTGAGTCATCGATATAGCAAAAATTCATTGTTTTAAAGCGTTACTCGCATATAGCGCATGTCGTCAAAGGAACAACGAAGAAAAGCATGGAAATAGCAAAATTTTTAGCTTTAGACGAAGATGAGTCATCCTTTGTGAATAACTGTTTAGAACAATGAATTTCTGCTATATCGATGACTAAATAGATCAAGAAGATGAAATAAAATAAGAAGATGCGATATACGCTAGATGTCCAACAGAACAGCGCTAGATCCAGTAATAATGAAATATGATATGTTAAATATGTTAGTTAATAATGATTTAAAAGGAGACTCGAAAGTTTCAATGTACTACAACAGAAAAAAACCGAATATAATCATTCCGTAGCCGATATATAACTAAAATCTTTAATGAATCGTTATGAACAAAAGCTCTCATGCTAAAGAAAAACGTTTAAATTATATTGAAGATAATGTTTATAAATGCAAACGACACTCGTACCAGTATAATCTTGATATTGAAGAGAAAATCGATGAAAATATGTCGCAAACAATAGTTGACTTATGTGCTACGGTTGATATACAATTACATCGTTCTGACATTGAATTATCACATCCTTTGGGTAGTATAAAAATTAAAAAACATTTACAAAACAGTCAAAATAGAACGGAATCAAAACCCTTGGCACGTGTTGTGATTGCTATGGTACATCGTCAAGAAGTAAGAAAAAAACTTTTAATAGTACGTAAAGCACTTCATCAAAAGCTGGTGTAATGATCTACGATAATTTTAACTAAATACGACTTACATTTTTTTTAAGAATTGCGTAGTTTATTAAAAAAACGATATAAAGAAGTATGCATTTAGACGAAATGGACGTGTAGCTTATAAACCAGCAGGTGGGAACGTTATTTATATAAACAATTACTATGATATTGAACAATTACAGTTGTACACAATGGGCATTTTTGGCTTAAGCAGGTGGAGATGTAACTTTTGTACTCGGAAACGGGTTTCTTTTGCTGAGAAATGGTTGTATATTACTCATAAAATCACCTTCAAGAGAATAAAGCATTTTTTTGATAAAAAACATTTTCGACAACAAAACACCTGAGAGGAGCTCTTGCCTTCATTTTTTCGAAAAAATATTTTTGTTGGAAAATGTTTTGTGCCGTACATCATCTGTCGCAGTTCGACGCGTTGATTCCGAATATTGCATTATTTCTTGAATAAAAATGTTTTTTTGACTAAGAAAAATATAAAATACTTGGAAAACCTAAATCTCGATCTAGGAGAAAAACTGTATAAAATTGGTATCACCACAGTTTCGGGCTATGTCGATGTACATTCTGCGAAATTTTTAACGAATTTGGAGCGTCGAAAAATTTCGAAAACTCATTACACTTAACATAGCTCTCGGAAAAATCGCCTGGTTTGGGAAAAACCTCTTTTTCGCTAAAAGATTTGATCTGACGAATTTCTTTTTCTATCAATAGATAGCTAGAAGCGTCCTGATTGCAAATAACACGTTTCGAAAATTTAAATACAAATAGTTCAATAAAAAATTGATTTTACATAGGGAGCACGGATATACGAGGTATTTTTTCTTGAACATTTCTTACCCGCAAATTCCTTGTTCAAAACAAAATTTTTTACACCATTAGATAGTCCGTAGATAGGTATTTGCCGCTATTTTAATTTTAAAAAATTTCGATTTTTCGCTGGATGTTCGCCTGGATGCCCATGTTGTATTAGCATATCTGTCATTGACCAATATATGATTGATCGTTATCTTTATTTTCTCTGTTCTTAGATCCTATTCCATGCACATGTGCAATGAGGTAGTTCCCATCGTTAGCAGTTGAGTTTCAGTTTCTCTTATTCTGAAGCATACAACACACACATACACAATATATAACATGCGATGCAAAAGTTTCTGTAAAAATGTCGAGCATTATTTCTCAATGTTTCTGATGCACTGGCGATTTAATTATTTTTCGTTCGAAAGAGCAAAGTTTGAACTTCAAAGAAAAAAAACAAAACTAAATTTTTTGTAATTGAGGTCGAGTGAGAAAAAATCTAAATACGATAGATCATCCCAAAACCTCTTGCAACGTCCTCTATCTTCAGATGTATCTCTCAACAAAAAAGTAATTTTTCACTATAACCGACTAAGTTTGAAATTATATAATTATGGAAATTAGAAGTGTTTTTATTGCTCTGTCAATTGGAATGTGATAAACTATCGTTCGATCTACTTTTCAATTAGAAATTCGTACGTTTTTCATTTGTTTCAGAAAAAGAGTTGATTAGATTTAATTAATAATTTTCATATACTAAATGAACTTTATCCTTTTGCTAAAACACATTTTCTGAAACAGCATTCAATTTTCTACAAATTCACATTAGCCTTAATTTTTACTGACATATCTTGAGCCCCGAATAACAAGTTTTCTCAATATCGTGCCTTTCTCATGAAAAGTAGAGTTTTCTACAAAAACTGAGTTTTATAATAAATTGTTTTTTTTACTATTAAGAAGTTAATGAGAAATGTTAGACAGTAGATGGATCGGTACAGTTTTGCACAAGCGACATTCTCATCTATTAGTTTTCAAAAAAGGTTTTCTCCTCAGCTTGCCCTGAAAAATTAAAGAAAAAAAATGGGTTCCAAGAGCTTTTCGATGATGTTTTATATTTATATTTTTTCTCACTCAAACTCAATTACAAGTTCTATGTTCTCAGTTATATTTTCTATGTTCTTTGAAGGTCAAACTTTGTTCTTTCTAGCAGAAAAATAATTAAACTGACAACACATTAGAAACATTCAGAAATAATGCTCGACATTTTTGCAAATACTTTTGCATCGCATGTTATACAGCATGCGTTCTCCTTTCTCTTTCTTTCTTTTTCTTTTCTTACCATTCGTAGATGTGTACTTAAACTCTTACTCTAACTATAAGATAATGACTGAAAACAGCATACTAAAAAATCAGAGATGTGGAGAAAGGTTTACCGTGTTAAATGTAAATAGTCTCATGACAGTTACCAACGAAAAGATACAAGGATCATGCATTGTAAATTTGACAAAATTTGATTTACTTTGTGTATACATAAAGCAAAACGATCCCGTACTTATTGGGATTGTAGAAACTTGATTGGATAATAGTGACTGTAATGAGAATTTGTCAAGGAAAACTATTAGTTTATGCTGATATTATTGTTAAAAGGTTAGATGAACTAAAAATTTCTTCCTTTGAGACAATGTTCTGTTCAGTTACTATATTTACTTCCAAAACTATCTTATTCTCTCTTTGTTATCTACCTGATGGGAATGGTGGTAGACAGTTAGCATCGTACTTAGAAGATCGTTTGGTTGAACTTAAAGCTAATAGTAAATATAAACATGCTGGTTATATATTAATATGAAATTTCAGTGCACACTGGTATCTAACGAAATCGTCGCCATCTGGGGTTAAATCGTTATATAAATTTGCAGATACTGCTAATTTGTGTTAACCTGCTGGCAAACCGACTAGACCAAAGTCTAATACTTGCTTAGATTTAGTCTTTGTTGATCACACCACATGTATTCAGAAGATTGTTGTTCTGCCTCCACTGTACACTCCATGGGATCGCAGTATGACTAAGCGTCAAAAAAAATCTAGTATCGCCCGATTCATCTAGATTACCAGATTTTTACGCGACTGCAACTATTAGGTAACGACAGTGGAGATCTAGTAATCGGGCGATTGCTAGATTTCTTCTAGTTGCAACTACTGATTTACCGCCCGATAATCGATTGATTTAACTATTGCTAGTTACACGTACAGACGCAGCTGACTAAAAGTTCCTTTTCCAATTAGTAATCCAGTTGGCAACTAGTCGTGTATCGCCCGATTACCTACAAAATGCATCTAGATTTTTCCCCATAGGTAATGTTTGCTAGGGTAATTTCGTACGCCTGACACAATATGGAATGTGAAGAAGAGTTTTTGATTATCGTGTAACTGACTGGTACTTCTTTCGTGATTCTCTATCAAAAGTTAATTGGTTTGGTATGATTCAAGGACTCAATATGAATGATGCATGTTTTAGCTGGTGAAGGAAAAGTACTGCAACACTGCTTATTCGGTTGTATCAAACAAAGAAATAATATTAAAAGCTAATGATAAACCTTAGTTTACGGATGAGCTTCACGATCTCCTCGCTAATAAACATAAGCCATATAGGATAAATTGTAGATACAACACACTGTAAAAAAGTCGTAGATTAATAAACTATCAAAAAGGGTTTATTGAGACCAATAAACCTTTTAAAAAACGCTTTTCCGTTTTTTATATTCGGAAAACTAAAAAGCGTTCGTAACAGATGCAAAATGTAAAACGGGCGGTTTTTTATCAAAAATAAATGACTCTTTTGAGTTTTTTGTCGGGTGTAAAAAACTTGCTAA